CTTGCAAGCGCAATCATATTTCTCTATCTCTTCAAAGGCTGTGTAGAAATTTTGTTTGTATTTTTTTATTTTTATATCTAAAGGCTCTTTTTTTTATTTTTTTTATTTTCATTTGCTTTGCCTTAGCTTTTTCAATATTATCCAAAAATCTAATTCATCAATGGAAAAGGATGATAGAGACTCAATTGCAATGTCTGCTGTTTGACTATCCTGATTTGAATTCTCCAATTGTTCCTAGAATAATTTCATTCTTGATGAAAGTTCATAGATGGCTTTCTTTGCCTTTTTAATTTGTTCGTCATCCAAGAAAATTCGGTTTTTCGGATCTACATATATTGAACTGAGCAAGATCTCATTGTCTAGCAAACTAGTTTCTCTTTTCTTCATTGAAGAAATGATTCCTTCTGAAATAAACCCTCCATTTCAGAAAGAACAAACATCCTATTCTTGTCTCCTTTCAATTATTCAGATTGCAGCATTTTTGTGGCTATATACGGTATAGAAAGAAGGGTTTCCAATTCTACAAGATCATTCCACAGTCTTTCTGTTAGTGAAACGTTAGGATTATCTACATCGCTTAAAAAAGTTCTTAATTCTAAAAACCTCTTTATCATCAAATATGTACTTCCTTATTGCATTGCTTGATCAATAATTGCTCCCTTTCCTGCTCGCTTCCTAAGAACGGCATCAATTTTAGGAGTTCATTCTGCTATTGCTGCTTACATAAATTTAGCAATAAGATTTGTAACTAAATGAAGTAACTGAGTAAATCAGTTTAATCACTAATGGCAAATTTCACATCCATCCTCCTCCCTTATATTTATTTATTAATAGGTCAATAAAATAGAAAATAACTATTTATTAATGTATACAGTTCATAAATAAAAATAATAACTGAAATTGTCATTAATTTTTTTCAATTCATTTCAAATTCAAACTATCCAACAAAAACTGGAGTCAACCTGTTTTTAGCGACTCCAGCTCCGACTCCTTTTACCCCAGAATCTGCCCCGATTCTGACTCCATGACTCCGACTATACAGTATGCCTTTTAGTACCTTGTCCATTCTATATACAGTGTTTGTACGGTCTGTAAAAGTTATTAAATGTACTTATGTTTTTTGGTCCTTACAAGTCCTTAATTTTGGTCCAAATTGGCAAAAGTTTCTTTAATTTTACTCATCTGGCATTTCTGTTTTTCATGTCTGCCATTTTGAGTGTGAATTAACATTTTGGAGAAATATCTTTTGGTTCATTGACAAATATGCATTTGATGGGTTATCATTTATTTGACGCAACCACCATTTTGAAATTATTCCTTTTCAGATAATGAAGAGTTCATAAAATATTACAAACAACATTAAAACATTCTCTTCCTTTATATGAGGTATGATTTCTTTTATTATGCAGTACTATATTTGGCAATTTTAAGATGAATTTGCATAAAAAATTTTTTATTGGGATATTTGTGAAGTTTTAGAGGATTAAAACATTTTTTCCCATGTCGTATTTTAAAACTTTCCATATTGGTGACTTAGAAATATTTTGATTCTGAAAAATAAGCAAGATAATAAGCTATAAAACAAAGTTTTCAGAGCACTTATTAGCAGAAACTTGCTGGCTTTTTGCTTTTACAGAGTTGGCAGGGTTATTTTTTAGACCTTGCATCTCGGAAGGTTTAGAAGAATTTGAAAACAAGATTTATAGACCTACAATTCCAGAAGATTGTTTTCTTAGTAGTAACATGTAGTGAATGTGTTTTATGAGAAATTTGTGATGAATTTCTTATTTTTTGGAAAAATTTTGGGTAAAAGTATATTTTAGGGTACCCCTTGGCGATTTTTGGCGGTACATGGATACCGAGTTTGTGCAATTCTTTGACTTATTATTTTGGCTTGCATAACGGCGATTTTTACTCCAAAAATCGCCGCTATACAAAGCCAAAATAACAAGACAAAGAATTGTACAAACTCGGTATCCATGTACACATCAACCTATTTTCACTTTTAAAAAAATCCCCGAATTGCACAAAAATGGCATAGCACACTCCCTTGACTTCATCCATGTATACGTCAATCTATTTTCACTTGAAAAAAATCCGAGAATTGCACAAACTTGCATTGTGAACCCCCTTCACTTTGTCCATGTACACATCGATATATTTTCACTTAAAAAGGTCAAAGGAGCACCCAATTCTACAATACTAAATTAGCGAATTAAAAAATATATTAACAAATTAGGGGATGAATCAGAGAGTAGTGGGAACATTGATTTGCTTATTGAAACAAAAATAAATAAATAAATAAAGAGAAAAATGATGTAAATTAGCTAAAATATTTCAAAAACTTTCAAATTAAAAAGGTGTGTAAATATTTTGTGTGTAGTTGCTAGGAAACATTTCGTAGCTTTTTATGTGCAATTGTTCGAATATCATTTTAGAGTCAGTATCATAAATTACATGCATAATTATCAATTTTTAAACTGTAAAATATTCTCAGATTATGATTTGATTTTAATCTGAGATTAAAATAATCTTTTTTAAGATATTTTTTGAAAAAAAAAATAATGATAGTGATCATGTAACTATGTAATTACTCAGAATATTTATCTATTTATATAAGTATTTAACTAATTGCTTACTCTTAGAAGTTATCTCTACATGTCTTTCCTTAATCCTTACTGTGGACATAAGATACAACACAATGATGTAAAAAATAACATAAAGCATTCCTTTAGAGGCATTGATATTTCAAGTAATACAAAACAACTTACCACGTCTGGGGATGCTTCAGTTGATTACTGCAACTTTATATTAAGTACTGTATATTAGTTGGGTTATAATTCCGGAAACCAGGGCTGTGGAGTTGGGGTCTCGGAGTCAGCCAGGTTTTGGGATAAAAGGAGTCTGAGCTGGAGTCGCTAAAAACAGGTTGACTCTCACTCCAGTTTTTGTCGGACAGTTTGAATTTGAAATGAAATTAAAATGAATTGAAATAAAAGTAATGGCAAGCTGAGTTATTATTTTTATTTATGAATTATATACATTAATAAATAGTTATTTTCTATTTTATTGACATATTAATAAATAAATATAATGGAGGAGGATGGATGTGATATTTGCCATTAGTGATTAAACTGGTTCATTTAGTTACAAATCTCGCTGGTAAATTTAGGTAAGCAACAATAGTAGCAGGAACTCCCAAAATTGATGTCATTCTTAGGAAGCGAGCAGGAAAAGGAACAATTATTGATCAAGCAACTCCATAAGGAAGTACATATTTGATGATAAAGAGGTTTCAAGAATTAAGAGCTTTTTTTAGAAGATGTAGATAAGATAACCCTAATGTTTCACTAACAGAAAGACTGTGGAATGATCTTACAGAACTGTAAACTATTCTTTCTGCACTGTATATAGCCACAAAAAAGCTGCAATCTGAAGAATTGACAGGAGGTGATAATGGAAGAATACGATGTTTGTTCTTTCTGAAATGGAGGGTTTATTTCAGAAGGAATCATTTCTTCAATGAAGAAAAGAGAAACTAGTTTGCTAAACAATGAGATCTTGCTCAGTTCAATATATGTAGATCCGAAACACCGAATTTTCTTGGATGACGAACAAATTAAAAAGGCAAAGAAAGCCATCTATGAACTTTCATCAAGAATGAAATTATTCTAGGAACAATTGGAGAATTTGAATCAGGATAGTCAAACAGCAGACATTGCAATTGAGTCTGTATCATCCTCTTCCAATGATGAATTAGATTTTGAGAAATATTTTTGGATAAAATTGAAAAGGCTATGGCGAAGCGAATGAAAACAAAGAACCAAGAGCCTTTAGATATAAAAATGAAAAAATACAAACAGGATTTCTACACAGCCCATTAAGAAGAAGGGAAATATGATTGTGTTTGCAAGACATCGCTTTTAGAACTTATAAAAATTTATCCTGAAAAGTTAACCATAACAGTAACAGCTCTTCCTCCTACTCATGTTAGTGTGCAAAGACTCTTCTCAGCTGTGAAGTTTATCAAATCTGATCTATGGCCCTCCAACAAAGAAGATTTTGCCGAAGCTATACTGTTTATTAGAAATAACTAATGCCAGTTTTTCCATTTCATAATAAATGCTAATTAATATAAATAATTTGCTATGCCATCAAATTTTTCCCCTGTAGCATCTATTACTTCTTTTATATTAAAAAATAAGCTGTAACTCATGCTTATATGTTTACATATATATATATGAGGGAGTCGAGTCAGAGTCTTTAAAATTCCAGGAGTTGGAGTCAGAATTGATCATTTTCCCTACCGACACCACAGCCCTGCCAGAAACTCTATGCAAAACTACGACACTAACCGGGTCAAACAAACAAAGCACAATTAACTTTCAATACATACTAATCTTGTCAATTTCGGGTGTTCATGTCTGTTCTAATCAGTGTCTAAGCAATTGTTGCTCCCAATCTGTTGCCACTGCTGCTGATTAGCAATGATGGCAACAGCTAAGCTTCTGTTACAAATAATGCTAGTTGATTTTATTCTTATTTTAATCCATGCTGCTTGTCATAAAATTTGCATAAACTTCTGGACTGAACGAGTATGTGAATGAGGCATGGAAGAAAGAATCAACATAAAGCTAATTGTTAGTGAAGCTGAAATGTTATTAATCTTCTTGAAAATATGTGGGATTATTAAAAGTGTAAAATCCTACTTGCAGATTTTATTCTTAGACTAAGTATTACAAAACTGAAGTTCAGATGTAAATAATTGCTTTAGTTTATTCAATTCCTTTTGCTCATAAGGCCTTAATTTTTTTTTTCATTAATGGTTCTTAAAATTACTTAATTTCAATGGGTAGAAATGTGTACAAACCCTGTACATAGGTCTTATATTCATAATATTTCTGCTACGGCAAACTGTGTATTATTTATATTATTGTTATTATAAAAAGAAACCTACTCTATCTTTTGTCACACTATAGCTTAATAAAATATTCTTTCAGGAAGTTTTACATGATAGTACATCATTAGCAAATTTTTTAAAACTACAAGGAGTACCTGAAGATGCAGCTAATGCCCTGAAAGGTAACTTAATCTTTTATTCTATTAAGATTTAAAAGTATCTAATGGGACCATAATCAATCTAAATATTTAAAAAGTTCCATATATGGAGTAGACAAATGCTAAATATATGTGCATTTGCCAAATATATATGCATGCTAGTATGTGTATGGCATCAAATTTATATTCACTGTAATAAGAGCAGTGGGTTTGCTACTGCAAAGAACCCATTGGCAAGGTGCATTTTTTCTTCGCCGAGCTCACCAATGGCAAGTAATAAATCATACTAAGTATACGTAACCAAAAATTGAAGAGAAACATGCCAAAGTGAAACGTAAAGTTAGCAAAGCAGCAACCTGGTGTTTGGTGTAGATTCTTTGCTGCTGATGAACAGTACCTGTGTGCCTTCAAAATCGGTCAAGTTCTTGACTAAATAAATGCCAAACACGAAGTTGTTGCTTTACTAATTTTATATATGTAATGAATCAAATTTAACTCGTTGAACATGATATTTAGTGTATAGCATAATATTAAGTATATATAAGCTGAATTTAGCTAATGATTAGCAGATTAACCATGATATTAAGTAAACTTTAGCTTGTAAAATATAATATTTAGAGCAGTTAAATTCAGCTCACACAAAAGTCTAAGATTAAACATGTCTAGTGGAATTAAATTCAGGTTAGCAGGAAAACATGATACAGTACAAAGTCATTAATCCGGACGTCCATAATCCGCAATGATCTATAATGTGGACCACAAAGCTACAAACTTTCTGCGCATGCATAGCGTTTACACATGTGCATAATACCTTTACATATGCGTTTACGCGTGCGCATAATACGTTTACGCATGCACTTTTAATGTGTAACGGATGGTATAAGCTAGGCTAAAATTATCTAATTATCTATTTCAGTTAATGTTGCAGATTGAGTTGTTCCTTAGTCTTCTAATTGGATCTGACTTATTATTTTTTGCAGACTGTTAAAGCAATTTTATAAAAAGTAAGCTTGAACTTTCAATTATGTCAAAAAGAGTTTCCGATTCTGGAGCTGCCAAAGGATCTACAAAGCGAAAGCATGTTTCGATGTCCATCAAACAAAAAGTGGAAGTACTGCAAAAAATGGTTAAAGGCATGAAGAAAGTGACAGAGAGGTTAGTGAAAACAAAAAAATTTTGATTGACAAGTTAGTCAGTATTTTCGGCACAGCGGAACTTTTCACGACTTGAACAGCGGAACTTTGTAACTGAACAAGAAATTATGTCTGTTTATAGAATTAAAGAGAAAGTATGAGCACATAAATTGAAGCAACTTAAACAACTTACAGTGAAAGAAATGTTTAATCAAGTAAACAAATAAATATTAAGTTTTTTTTTTTTTTTTCTGTAAATTTTGATACCCTTTAGATCATAATTGCTCTTTATTTCATAAATTACAGTTTCATATTTTTAATTGTATAATTTCTGCATGCCATCTTACTAATTGATGATCTATAATCTGGAAAAACCCCTAATCCGGAATCGGCGAAATCCTAACGAGTCCGGATTAAAGACTTTGTACTGTATTAAGCACCAGTTTTGGGATTAACAAAACTAGTGGAATGATTAAAAGTATAACATGTATTAAAAGTATAACCCATGCGTCCCTAACACCAGTTATTTACCAGTGGGAAAATTTGCAGCCAATTCCACAGATTTTTGCTGACTGAATTCCATGTAGCATGTTGTCAGCTCTCCACAGTATAAATAACAGTCATTCACTTTTCTTGTAAAGTTACTTGATTATCTATGCTACTTTGTAAAACAAAAATCTAGTAGCTTTCTTGGTGAGGAAAATGTAAGTTACTAATATTACTTTCTCAGGAGAAAGTTTGCTTTTAGAGAAACAAGTATCTTTCACCTGAGACACTTGCTGATTTTTCCCTGAGGCGTGCATCAGATAGAAGCAAAACATGCCTGATTCATTTCTATCGTGGCATCATTTCATGTTCCTCAGAATATGTGTTTGATGAAGGCAGTAATCCTTTTGAGATGCACCATTGCGGACAACTATCTCTATTACCGACAACTTCCTTAATTAAGTAGAAATAATTTCATCTATTCATTTCTAAAATATTCAGAAAGGATAGTGTGGAAATCGGGCAGAAATAACAGTAAGTGAAGCATAAATTACACATGTAATGATGAATGTAGAACAGGAACAAAAGGAACCAAAGGTAGCATAAGAGGAATGGTTGCTATCTTGGAACAAATGAATCACCAATCTGAACTATTAACGGCATTTTTCGTGCTATTTACATTTACCATGTTCTGTGTGATAGTGCTTCCTAAGCAAGAAATTTCTTTAAAAAAATTGTTTTAATTTAAACAAGATGCAAAATTTTCATTTTCCCTGACATAATTAAACAGTAAATTATTACACCTCTAAACATGTAACTCATTTCTGTTTCAGCTAAAACAAAATGACTTTTCCAGGTATTTGTGGTTTATTAGGATTAGATTCACAAATGCACATTATATATTTATGTATGTATATACACACACATACATGAATGCATGCATACATTTTGTATTCGATTCCAATAATAGAAAAGTATATTTTTCCGTATATCAGGCATAAACCCTCAGTGCATGATACGTTTTTATTTTATAATATTAAAATTAAGCAAAATCATCTTTTTTCTGTGCTTGAGCCCATTTTTCTAATCTAGTAAAAATAAAGTTATATTTTATAAGATAATAAAATATGCCAGTAATTGAAAACCAGTATTTTTAGAGCCTGTTTCTATTTAAGCAAGAATGCAGTTATATTTTAAACTTATTTTCTGCAGCACAACCTGCCATTGATGCATTGGATTATGGCTGTAGCTTGGTTTAGAAAAATGCTTCTCAATAGCGAAATCACTAAGAAATATTCTAGTGCAAGGGCCAAAACAGCTGCAGTTGTTAAAGAAATGAGTATGAAAAATAAATCTTCAGTTATTGATTGCATTAAAACTGTTCTATTCTGCCTCTCTACAGATGGAAGTAATAATACTGATTCAAAACTGAATCCAGCTGTTGTTTCTTTTTTTAATCCATTTTTTTGAAGATACTGGATTAAAAAATGTTTTAAAATTAAAAAATTTCTAATTTTAAAGATTAAAAAATTTCTCACCTAATTATTAAAATTTTAAAAGAAAATTCAATTCTGGATAATTGCTTAGTACTGGGTGCCAATAATGCACCAGTAATGATAGGTTTGAAGCCTGGTGTTGCAGGCATCTTTAAAAAGGAAGCTTCAGATCTGCAAATTATGATGTGCACCTCTTGAACTTAATTACTGAAAAAAGAGCAGCTTCTTTTCTAATAAGTGTGAATGAACACATTGTTGATATTTATTATTATCTTGAAAAGCGTTCTTAAGAAAATGAAGAAAAAAATTGAAACAATTCCAAGAGATATATGAAATAAGTAAAATTTTGAAACATGTATGTACATGCTGGCTATCTTTAAAGAAATGTTTATCTAGAAACCTCAATCAGTGGAACCAACTTCCTAGTTACTACTTTAACTGTTAAAAATAGATGTGAGAAAAATAAAGTAATTTCTGCAATTTAACTGGCAGTTCTCAAAATAATACTTCAAAATATAAGCATTGCAACTAAAAAATAAGAGGGATTGCAATTAAAAAATTAGTGGAAGGCCTTTCAAAAAAGCAAAAATAAGTTTGATATCCATGTTAGCAAAAATAAATTTTATATCCAGAGGAAAACAAAAATAAGTTTTTTATCCATGTTAGAAGCTACTTCTGCGGAGTATGTGATTACATACTACATACATTTCCAATCAACAATGAAGTGATTTTATATGCTAAAGTTGCAGATGTTTCCGCTCTAGCAAATGCATTTTTTTCTGATATATTTTTTTAATAGATTTCTAGTTTTACTTCATTTAGTCATGAACGAAGATGATATTGATTTTGCAACTGATAAATTGCAGTCGCAGTTTTCAATTAGAAAACTTGGATAAAGTTATAAAACCAGCTAGGATTGACATCCAGTGGAGTTTAATTGGAAAACGGAAAGGTGCTGATGGAATATTAAAATATAGTAAACTGTCTAGAATAATGTTAGCCAATGTGACTATTCCTCAGAGTAATGTAAGATGATTTTTCAATATTGTGAAAACAAGAACTAAATTTAGATCTAATATTAGTAATGACACATTAGAACAACTTTTATGGGAAAAGCAGGCCTACGTGGCAATTGATATGAACAAAATTATGAAATCTCTTTCTTAATGAAAGCAAAATCTGCCACTCTTCATAGTATTTGTACAAAAACTGATTAAAGTTTTTTTTTTTTTTTCTTTTTCTTTTTTTTTTTAAGATGCGAATAAGAAAAGTGATTTTTTACCAGTAAGTATCTTTGTACTCTTTGCGTTTAAGTATTAGTAACTGAACTTTCAGTAATTAATAACTATTTGAAGTTAATCCATTATTAAAAAATGTATTTTTATCATTTAAAAAATTGCTTTGTCGTTGAGAAAATCTCCTGATTTCTGGTTTTTGAGTGTCGTGGGTAAGTATGTTTTGAATTTATTTGTAACAAATATGCGAGTGCTTTCTTTGCATAGTAAAATTTTAAATGAATTTCTCATGCTCACACATGGCAAATGTGATAATTGTTTTTTAGTCTGTTTGTAATAAATTTACAAGTGTTTCCTTTTCAAGAGCAAAATAACTTCCCTAATTCTGTTTTTTTAACAATATTATTTAAATTTAGATATAATATTTTTTATGTAATTATGCACCCACAGTGCATTATCATGTAAGACTTAAAATATAAAATATTACAATATAAGCAACAAGCTGATCAAGCCACTTCACTATCAATACACACCGCTTATTGATAATTCTAAAATTAATGCCATTTGTTGGTAGAATACAGAATAATTACAATATATATTTTGTAATAGAGACTTTTCTATTAATTTAATAGATAACTCTCTAATTAAAATGGCTCTTCTGCAGATATAAATAATTTGTAAGTCAAAGAAAAAGGAGTTTATCTTTGTATTTGTGTTGCAGGGCATGAAAAAGCTCTGAGCTATAATATTTGGCTCTTAAATTTTCTAGATGGATGATTTTCTATCATTACAAATGCAGTTTGTTTAAATTCCGCATCAAGGAATCAATTGCTCATAACATATAGATTTTTTTCACTATTTTCTAAAATTAATTAGATGATTTTATTTATTATATAATTTTTTAAAAATGAAATTGTAATTTATGCTATATAATAAATAAAAAGTACATTAGCTTTCTTTTCACTTTTTATTTATAGCATTTCTGTGCTTTATTTTAAATGCAACACATGCTCTTTAGTATTATTTACTCTTCTTTCATGCAAATAATGGGTATATTATAACTACTAATAATAACTAGTTTTACATGTATCTAACAATATTCACAAGTTTTTGTATTTTAGTTTAATATAAAATTTTTGTCTTAAAAAATCTATATGTACAATATTGAGAAAATGAATTGCATTATTTTACATAAAACTCTGAAAACTGCAATGGGTGCTTTGCAGAAGACACAACAGAATTAATAAAATTTATTACCTACAAAATTCAAGTAAAGAACTTAAAGTAAAAAAATCAGAAGCTTTTATATTACAATAACATGCACAACGACCATCACAATCCTATAATAAGATGCTATCAAATGTGGGTTTAATTGAGGATATTAACATAAAAAAATATTATTTCGAATAAGCACGTCCAAACAGATGCTCACAAGCCACAAAAAGTGGCTTATGGTAAAACAAGTAATAGTTTTTTTAAAAAAATACTTTTATAATTTGTGATTTTTATAATGTGTGAATGTTTTTATATATGAATTTTATAATTTATATACTGTGACTTCTTTTTAACAATCAGTAATTTAATTTTCAAAATTAAAATAGCCATGTAATAATTTCAAATCATGTATCACATGCTCGACTTCAATGGATGAAAACCAAATAATACCATGGCAGTATCTCTCTTGGAAACTCAATTGAGAAAATAAAAAATAAATGCAGCCATAATAGGCTGTGGTAAAAATATTTTTCATTTCATACAAAATGCTGCTGCGGATACATATAGTTGCTACTGTACATATTTTTAACATTATGATTTGTAAACCGGCTGTTACGAAGCGATTAACGATACGAATGCGAAGTTCGTGAGGTGAGTAATAACACTTGACGATTCTTGTTCGAATGCTATTTTGTTTCAATGAGTTTGCATCAGTGGTAAATTTGATCTTGATTTGGTATACAAAAATACATGACGATATCTTTCATTTATATTTAATGAAAAACACCAAATATATCACAGTAATACAGACACATCGCAATGGCGAGCCACAGTTACATAATGTAAAAACACAGAAGAATTCTTTCAGCGCAACAGCACCCTCTGTATTATGAAAAGTTCGAACACACCCCACCTGTGCTCTGTTAAGAGCACACTAAATTTACATATCAATAATATATGTAGATATAATCACAAATCAATATGCACGAATCACAAATCAATTCTGAAACTATATTGCAAATTAATACAATACATGACACAAACATATATTATATATAACTCTAAACTTCAAAAGGATAGATCAATTGGACGGGTCTTCGATAAAGTCCTTGAGAAGTACGAATCAAACATGAACGCACATACCCATTCCTACCGTTATAAACTTGTATAATTCCAATAGGCCATAAATAAATCGACCCCTCCAGCAATACAACCTCACCCTTTTCAAGATTCCTTTCAGGAGATGGATTTAGAAAAGTATGTGCAGACCCTAATTCGAGGAGATAATTCTCCTTCCACCTTTTCCAAATTTGTTTCAAAAGATTAGTTTGATACAGTTTTCTCCTAGTCAAAGTCTGCCTGTTCAATGGTTCATTCCTGAAAAGGTCTGTGAAATGTACAGGATAAGAAATATTTTCTTGCCTTGGAAACAAGAAATAGGCAGGTGTGAGAGCTTCTGGCTTTTTTTAGTTCATTGTGGACATAAGTAAGAGGTCTATGATTTAGCACTAACTCAATTTCTGTTAGAATAGTCATCATTTCCTCAAAATTAAGAAGAGCCCTTCTGAGAACCTTTTTCAAACGATCTTTGATACTTTACATAAGCCTTTCATAAAAACCACCCCACCAAGGCGTGTGAGGCGCAATATATTGACAAGTTATGCCGTTTATTGATATGAAATCTTTCAATTTTGAATCTATTATAATTTTTGAAAATTCTTTAAGAATTGCATTAGTGGCTCTAAAGCTCTTAGCATTGTCGGAAATGGTAACTTTACAATTTCCTCTCCTAGCTAAAAATCTCCTTAATGACAAAATAAAATTTTTTGTTGACATATTTGTGATTAATTCTATGTGCACAGCTCTAGTAACACTGCATGTAAATAATGTTATGTAAGCCTTTTGAGGCGTATCCTTTCCTGATTTTATTAAAAACTGGGCCAGTGAAATCTATGCCAGTTACAGTAAAAGGAGGGTTTCAGTAATTCTACTTTTAGGTAGTTGACTAGTTATTTGTTTAGCTGGTTTCAACTTATACTTTCGACAAATTAGGCAGTTACCTAATACTCTTTTTATAATTTGTCTACCTCGTGGAATCCAAAATCTAGACCTAATTTTGGCTAGCGTAAATGTAACTCCACCCATGAAAAATTTTATTATGTTCTCGAATAATAATTAACTCTGTAAATTTAGACTGCTTAGGAAGAAGTACATGGGATGAGCTTCATCCTTTGTAAACGCTCCTTCTTCTAATCTTCCTTTTATGCGCAATACACCACAACTGTCGAGAAATGGGGCTAAATTTGAAAGTGGAGAGTTTTTAGGAATCGACTTACCATTTTTAAGGTTTTGTAATTCTAAGTTGAACTCTATCGTTTTGCTCATGTTTTATCCAGTCTATTTCAGCATTTTGAAGTTCTTCGGCTGTTGAGGGGACTTGCAATCGTTTGT